ACACCAGCCATGTCAGAGAGGCAGCTGTCAATCTTGGCTTGCGCTTGCTCACCCCCAAAGCCTTGGCTAAGCAGTTTGCTGCAGTCACTCTGCAGAGAAGAGATCCACGAGTAAGTTACAAATTAATAAGCCAGAGAGTTTCTATCCCTTCATGGTGCTGAGCTCTGGCCGCCCACCAGCACACTCCCAGGACAGGCGCCAAACTCTGGTCCCTGTGAAGTCAAAGGCTGCTGGCTCCAGCTGGGGAGAGGACAGCAAGAATGGGAGCCAGGGGCCATCTAGCCCAGCACCAGAGAACCACAACCTCTCAACAATGCACATGTCATTCCACTGGCTCCCAGCCTCTGCCAGATTGGTCAAGCTGGAGGAACTGGTATTTCCAGCTGCTGCTGATGTATCAGCAGGAGATTGCTCTACCAGCTCAAAATTGCTTTCCTAAGGCTGGAGGGCAAAGACCTCAGGAATTTGGGCACAGCAAAGGCCGGATGGTTCATCTGACCACCCCCACAAGGGAGGATATTACAAATCTGATTACAGAAAACACAGCAAAGAATCCAGACCCACCTCCAAAGTCTTCTTTAGGGTCATGATGTTTTCACTGCAGACTTCCACATTGTTTAAGGTCACCTGGAAAAAAAACAACAAAACAAACCCAAGTAGAATGTATTGGAATTTCCCAGCACCTCAGCCCCAAGTCCTGTTTTCTCCCTGTGGCTCACACTACAGGCTGAAATGCAAATATTTAAGGAGATAGAGATGCTGCTGTGGGACCAATTCATGGAGCTGCATGAAGCATCTATTCTTCACCAGACTGTTCTCTACCTACTGAAGCTGAACTCGGTATAAGGTTGGGGACAGAGAAATGAGGCAAGCTGACAGCTGAGTGAGGAATTCCAGTGGGAGAACTGATATTTTAAGCACTCTGCTTCAAGAAATGCAGAAACCTGTAACCAAGAATTTAATGAATTGGAAGAGTTCAGTTCCTCCTGCTCCCTTTGTTGCTTTCTCTCCCTGTACAGTGAAAGTCTCAAGGAGCCTCTTCAGCACAAGGTGTTCACAGCAACTTACAGAGAGGGAGACAAGCCAGGGTGAGCCAACCCTTCTCCAGCACTCTCAGGGTTTCTGCCCACAGGTCTGCTCAAACAGCAGGGCTGGCTGCGAGGAGAGCAGAAAAGATCTCCCAGTGAGATCTTTTCCACAGTTCAAGGTCTATACAGCGTGCCACCACGGGGAAGGATGTGTTATGCTGCAGAAGACAGGAGCAACAGCCCTTCAGATTCTCTCCAAGGGGTCTCTAATGCTCACTGCCATGTTCTGGCCTGCTCAAGGGCACAGAGAGTTGCAGCACTGCTGTTAGAAGGCAACAGGAGGATCTTGCAGGCCAAGCAGAGCAGACAACCCTGCTCCAATGGAAACTCTGATCTGATAAGTGAGAATGAAGGAGCCCTGAGCTTGGGCCAGGAAGCTTTCTCAGCTAGAGGAAGGTGTGGATGAGACATTCTCCCACCTCCTTTGTGCAGAGCTTGTGAAGAACAGGATTGATGTACACCTCAAAAGAGCAGACTTTTCCCCAGCCTGGAGGGAATCATCATCACAGCAGCCTAAGAGGCAGTCACAGGATCATACTTGGACAGGACTGGTGTGGAAGCATCCAGACATCCAAAGCCAAGCCACCTACCACTTCTGAACAGGTTTTTAGGTTCTCTGAACATGTGACAGTCACACTAATCCTGTTCTCAAGAGCTCCCCATTGTTTTTCCCCTCATCCCAAATCATTCTACACCAGAACAGCCATGAAACCCACCAGAAAAGACTGCTTGGCCTCGTCGGTGCTTTCAATGCCTTTGGTATCGAACTTGCCCTGCTGCAGGCTGCTGTGCATGATGTTCACAGCACTGGTCACCCCTCTCTGGAAGTCCTGGAAGGTCGTGGCTGGAAAGCCCTGCTTCAGCTTGTTGTACAGAACCTCCCTGTGGGACAAAGAAAAAAAACACAGCAAGGCTTAGACTAAATCCTGGAAGCCACAGCAGAGCTGTGCTCTGTGATAAGGGACAGCACTCGGGCTGAGCTGTGACCTGAACAAGGTAAGTGGAATGTCACAGGGACAAAGGAGGGCTGGCAAATACCTCCTGACAGCATCAAAAGGACACAAGGCTGAAAGAAAAACACAACTACCCAGTTTCTGAGCTTTCCCCAAAATCCTGCCTGCAGCTGTTTTCTGTGTTCAGTCACAGTTGGGATGAAAAAGAGGAGCAGGACACTTTCTGCAGGCTCACCCCAAGTTCCAAGTTACTAAGCAATGTCACAGGCAACCCAGAGAACAACTAGGGGTGACTGCATGGTCATCAAGCACAGTAGCACTCCAACACTACCTGGTGACTTGGTCTCATAAGGATTTTGGACCATAAAGTTGCTTTTTCTCTTTTATGTCTGTTTGTTGTACAGGTAACCACCACTACTGTGAGAAAAATATGCCCAGCACCAGATGCTGATTCCCACGAGCATCTTCCATGGAGGTGACAAACCAGAGGTTCAAAGGTGGGGAACACAAGGAGGACCATCTGACAGCAAACACTGTTTGCAGGAGGTGAGGTGGAGGCAAGTTACAATGAATCTGCTGTATTTTCATTACCTGAAGTCAGACTCCAGCTCGGTGGTGGAGTGGTTGATCATGGCACAGAGACAGTCTATGCTGGAGCTGGAGAGAGCACGCCCAATGCACTTCTTCACGATATAAAACACGTCATCCACCATGCTGGAGGTGAGCTGGCCCTTCTCATAGCTGTCCATGGCAACAGCCTACAAAGAAAGCTGTCTCAGTGCCCTGAGCTCAGCGAGTGAAGGTGCCCTCAGAGCAGTGCTGTGAGACCTGCCCATTTCACCCCGAGCTGGACTGTACCCTGCGTGGGCTGGCACCACTCATCCTAATTTTCAGTAGCTACAGCCCTGGAAGATCTGGCTCTGGAAGATACTCAGGGCTATGTTTGGAGTCAAAGTTCAGAAACAACCACTTGCTTTTCAAAGCCCAGGGAAAGAAAAGCCCTTCCCACCAACTGCAGACCTGCCATGTTCTCATCTCCCTCCCTGGGGATGCTCAGCAGAGTACTGTGCAGCACACGCAGAGGTCTCAGCGCTGTCACAGAGTGCAGGCGATTGCAAGCAGCAGTCTGGGCCCTACCTTGTTGACAGTCTCCCTCATGAAGTATTCCTCCATGGTGATGTAGTAGCCAATGAGCTCTTGCATGGTGCGGCTCAGCAGACAGTTGTTGAGGAGCTTGTCCAGGTATTTTTGATGTTCTACAGAACACAAAAGAGAACAATCAGCATGGACCAAGTACCAGAAAGAAGTTCCACCTAATCCCCTTGCTGCCTGTATCATGGGCACACCTGCAAAGCCCGACCTAGAATAAATCACAGGCCTCAACCATGGAGCTGACATTTCTAAGCTGACTTTTGCAGGTGACAGAAGTGATTTCCAGAGTTCTGTGGAGTACCAAAACCCTGAGCCTGTTTTCCCTGTGGCCTCTAGCTTTAGGATCTGTGCCTACAGTGACCAAAGGGCCCTCCCTCCCTTTGGGGACCTTGTTTATTGTGCTCTAGTCATTCCTAATGTTGGTTTCCCTGTTTGAGGGAACAACCAGTGCTGAAAACAAGTTTGGGGAGGCCAGGCTACACAATCCTCTTCCACAGCATCTTTGCGGATCCTGTGTCACTCTGCTCTGCCACTAACTCACATATATCTCCACTTTGGGCAGCTGCAAGGAGCAGAGAGCTTGCAAGTACTGATATTCAAGGTGTTACCTTGCTTTACCTCCTCTGAAGCCATGGAGTCTCCCACCTCAAAATCGGATGTTATTCGTCTCTTGATGAACCTCAAGTAGAGCTCACTGCGGGCGTTCATCAGCGTGACTTCTGTTAAAATAGGGTCAAGTTCCCTGGAAGGGACGTAGCAAGAATAAAGGTTGCAAGACTCCAAAAGGGGTGGCACCCATTTAATCCAGTTAGGTAGTGGGTTCTCTGTTCTCTTACTCTGAGATCAATACTGCCTCTGTCCATCTATGCTGGCGAGTGGCAAAGCTCAGCAGAGTAACCGGTATGTGCAAAGAACACACACACCATCAAAACATCCCGAAAAAATTATGACAGAGAAGCTTCTTTTTTTCCTCATGGATGTGAGAACCACCACATGAAAATCCCAGCAGTAAGGACTGGAAGAGTCTAAGCAACCTGATAAAACTTCAGAATTAGCCCTGTTTGGTTTGGGTGGGAGATCAGACGAGAGACCTCTGGCATTCCTTTCCGACCTCAGTTTTGCTATGATTCTGTGAGCCCTACATGGCCAGTGTTAGAAATGCCTAGTCCCTGTCATCTGCATATTTGTGCTCTTGTGCACGGATTTATGTGTTTCTCTGAAAATAATGAAGAATCTGTTTAAGCTCAACAGCTCAGGAAAACACGAGACCAAAAAAAATTAGGTGACAATGCAGAATGTGGTGTTCAGATCAGAAATGACTATGAAAAAAAACCCAAGACTGTCACATCAGCAGCTTTTTCATCAGCCTGCACAAAAGAGCTTTACAAATCCTGCTCAAAGCCTCACAACACACAAGTGGGACAACTTTATTTACCTTTATTTTATGGATGAAAAAGCAAAAGCTCAGAAAAGCTGGGATGCACGCACAATTGTTCAGAGTAAACAGTAAGTAGATCTCTGTATTACTGCTGAAATAATTAGTCATGCAGGCTAACAGATAGATCTTGCTTGAGAAATGTTAAGTTTTCTTTCAAGTTATGTTTAGAAGCCATGCAGTGCCAGAAGGGCTGGGTGCACTTTCAGGTGGCCTTGCTTATGGGCTATGCAAATATTTAAGATAAAAAGAAAAGGAGGGTGATGGAAAGCACTTTGGTTCATTAGCAAGAAACTGATGTTACAGAGTTGCTGCAGCAGCAGTACAGGTTAAATAGGACCCACAGATTTATTCCTGATTCTGTCACAAATTATCTGCCCAGGGAGCTGCTCCATTTTGTGGGCCATACTTTTGACCATCAAAAGGGAGTCAGCAGAGGCAATTAAAGTCTCAGTCCTTCAGGTGGAGTGATATTGCCAGCCCCCCACCACTGTTTAGGACCAAGGCTTAAAAATAACGAGTAAGCAAAATAAAGCATCACCACACCAGAAGCTGCCTTTATAAAAGGGCAGTGAAGGGCACCTAATAATTGGATTTTATGCTTCAGTAGTCACAAAGCCTCTGGAAGACTGGGAGAGTTATCTAAATGCTAAGCAGTGTTAATAACAGATCAGGAGTGGAATGTTAGAGAGCAAAAAGAGGTTTTGTTTGTACCTTGGTTCAATCTTCTCTGCAGAAGAACTTCTCATCATGCTGTTCTGAACTTGCTGGAACTGCAATCACAAAAAAAAAAGAGGAAGAATCATCCAAGTCTTTGCTGATGACTTGCAGTTAACAGCTGCTTCTTGGGCTGTAGCCTAAGGAGATGCTTACTCAGGACAAGGGCGGTAGGAATACTTTGCAGGAAGCACTGCCAGAGAAGGGAACCACACCAGTTCACCTCTTCCTCTGAGACAGAGCTCAGCCAGCCAGGAAGGGTGGTGGGATGAGAATTCCAACAGAGGCACCAAGGTATTGGACCATGAGACAGTTAGAGCAGCCCTGCATCTACCAGACAGAACCTCTTACCTGCCTGTGATAGTCCCTCTCTTTGATGAACTTGTCCACCACTTTCTCAACCTGCCGGTCACACTCCACTTGCAGGTGCTTGATGAGGGTGTAGAGCCTCCCTGGCCCATAGTAGGTCTCCACAATGGGTTGGTGGGTCTCCACAATGCAAGCAATCCCTGCAGGGAGAGGGGAAGCACAAGAGATACTCAAGCAGGAGTTCTCATCCAGTCTGAACCCAGAGCAGAGCTATACAGGTCCACAGACAGGACCTAACAAGGGGTTATTCATTCCCCAGATAAACAGCTGACACTGTCCAGCCACTCTGGAGGGCTGTCATCACCATCCCTTGTTCCATGGCATCTTTTCTCTGCATATAACACGTTCCATCCTCTCTGCTGTTTATCACAAGGCTGCAGTGCAAATCTCTTGGAGTAGAAGCCGTGTCTCTTCCTAAAGAGAGCTTCTGCCATGTGATGTGTGTCAGCTGCCCTCCTACCCAGCAAGATGCAAGGTGAGAGCTTCCACAGGAGAAAAGTGCATGAGCTAAACCTGGCAGGGGCCATAACTGCCATTCAAATCCAGTCTCAGCTTTCAGCACCTACCAGGTTACAGGAGAAAAGCAGTGCTAGGAAAATGAGCCTAGGGAAAGCTCTGCTCTTGTCTGTCACACAGATGCCCAAGAGAGCAAGCATTAGTGAAGGCAGGACCTCCTTGGAGAAGAAGCTCATCTCCAAGGACATCTCTCTCCACGACTGCTTTCTTCTCACAGACTCTCTACTCTGAGTTAGCAATGCTCCCCCTCTTGACACTACTGCCAAGAAAGCCTTGGTGGCTCTAAGGACCTTCAATAGTAGCAAGGGTGCCAGGCTGGGAGAGTGACTTGGCAGTGATGCAGCCCGGAATTATAGCAGACTTAATAGAGGAAGCAGTTAATCACCATGGGATCTCAATTACTGTCTTTGGCGACATTTCCACGGAGCATTCATGTTCCCTTCCCTCTCTGCTTCCAAGCTCCTGTGGTCCTCCTTGAAGAGCCAGGCCTGGAGGCATCAACAGCTGCTTAGTCTTAAGGGATCCAATTTGTTTGTCTGAAGAAACCTTCAGGGAATGCCCGTTTGTTTTGAGGATGCAGAGAAGAGGTGAGTCTCATTCCCTGGAGGAAGCCAACAAATCCTTTGCAAATCCACTTTGTGCCTGCGTGAGCTGTACGTAGGAAAGCTTGCTCACTGTAATGCCCTCCCCTGGCTGGGAAAAAGTCACTTAGTTGTGTCCCTGTCCCTCTAGTGTGACACACCCACAGCTCAAAGGGGAAGGAGGCATTTTGTGCTCTCCTGGAGCTAGAATTGATGGACCATCTCATTACAGATTATTTTCAATCAATCAGCAAAGAGGAAAGGAAGAAGATTACCTTCAAAGAGGAGTGTCAGGGTGTCTGCAAAGATGACGGCAGCTCGACGGTCACTCATGTCTGTCCCCATCACCAGCTGCAGGTTCTCCTCTGCTTTGTTGGCCACCTGCATTGCAAGAGCAGCAGTCAGCTGGTGACACTCAAACATGCTCTTCATCCCGCAGGGTGGACCTCTGGTCCAGAGCCCTGGGCTTTTGCTGGCCTCCCCACTGTAAGAACTATTGCTGCCGTTCCTCTTTTGAACAGGGATCCTTTCCTCTCTTGTGGAAAACTCAAGGATCAAGGAGAGGCAAAAACTTGTTCTTCTCTTTCCAGGCTCCCTTGTAGGAGCTTTAAGGAAGCACAAAGAGCAAGACACAGAAGGAGAAGCCAGACAGCCTGTGAGATCCATATTCAGACACCAAAACTCCCATCCCAGGACGCAAAATGCAGGGAGAGAGATGAACTAAGGCCAGTGCTGGTTTCTAAGATTAACAACCCAGAGCCAAGATCTCCTTCCACAACATCTGTGGACACAGACTGGGTTTTGCTTTCCCCCAGGAGACCAGCCAGGTCACAGTATGTTTCACAGAACCTGTTACCTGCTTGCAGAGGTACTCTGAGAACTTGCTCAGCCCCTCTTCATGTAAGCCTAGCAGAGGGAAGATCTTGAAGAACCGTTCCACTTGGGGCAGGTCTCCCTGCTTCATAGCTGTGTCAAATTTCTCTGTGACAATTGTCTTCAGGCGCTGCTCTGCTTCTTGTAGGAGCTTCAGGTTGGCATCAATTATCCCCCCTGATCAAAAGGTCAGAGAAGAAAGGGAAAAGTGACAGCAGGATGTTAGTACCTTATCAAGGGCTACTTTTTTTTTCCCCAGCAGAGAAACCAACACTGTGCAGCCTGCAGCCTTAAGGTGAGAAGGCAGAAGGCATACTGGAATTTCCCTAGAGGCAAAGAAAGATAGGTATGTATGTGATGTACACACAGCTAATGTCACAGTCTTGCATGGAGGATGCAAACACATCAACCGGGACATTTCTTTTAGGGATCAGGGAATTTATCCCTTCATTTCCAGTTGCTCTGCTTGGTAGCACACTGTAACACTGCAACAGTTCTCCTTGACAGAGCCTTCTCCCTCACTTCTTTTGTCCTGCACATTTTGTCACGCACTGAAATGTTATTAAAGCTGTGTGCCAGGAACTCTCCTTTCAATTAAGAATTCAAACCCAGTAACACTTGAAAAATGTTCATCTCTGTGTTAGTCTATAACATACTACAATCTCTGGCTAGCATTAGATCTTCTGCTTTGTCTACTGAGTTGAGGCTCTCTGCCATAAATCCTGCAGCCTCTAGTTATCTACTGGAAAGGTGATTTTATCAGCTTCTCCTCATGAACAGAACTTACCTTCCTTGCCCTGACGACTGAGCTCAATCACTGATTTGTCCAGAGACAGATAGCGATGGATATGAGCTGCTGCTTGTTCATAGTCTTCATTTCGCAGGGCTGTTTGAACTCCATCCATGCAGAACTTCAGGTCAAGGATGTCATCAGCTCTCTGGATGGCCTGATAGAGTCGATTCTGCAAGAAAGGCAACCACTAAGGCTTCCTGCTGCGGGCTGGACC